AAGGTTTTTTCGGTAGGTCCTGGAGCTAAGATTCAAAGCTAGGCAGTCTGGCTCCAGAATCTATACACTTAACTATTCTCATTAGTAGAATTACCCTTGGAACTCAAGGATTTATCTATCCCAAGACCCTCAAAAATGCTCATAGTGTTAATCATGTGATTTCCCCCAAAAAATATTGTTTTTTGTTGTTGTCGTTTGTTTGGTTTTGGTTTTTGAGACAGAGTTTCATTCTTGTTGCCTAGGCTGGAGTACAGTGGCATGATCTCAGCTCACCGCAACTTCTGCCTCCCAGGTTCAAGCGATTGTCCTACCTCAGCTTCCCGAGTAGCTGGAATTATAGGCACATACCACCATGCCCGGCTAACTTTTTGTATTTTTAGTAGAGATGGAGTTTCTCCGTGTTGGTCAGGCTAGTCTCGAACTCCCGACTTAAGGTGATCCGCCCACCTTGGCCTCCCAAATTGTTGGGATTACAGGTGTGAGCCACTGCGCCCAGCCAAAAATGTAGTTTTTGCACTGGCTAGAAGGCCTAATGAAAAAGCTTCCCGATAGTTAATGGTTATCTGACATTACTCATTAGCTTAGTTACACAGTTCTTAACACAAGTCTTGCTGGGGTGCATTCATACAAGTACATCAGTATTATCATAAATTATTTTATATCTTTTAGTTGTTACTGTTTTTGTTTTTCTGAGAGATAAGGTCTTGCTCTGTCACCCAGGCTAGAGTGCAGTGGTGTGATTACGGCTCACTGCAGCCTCAGTCTACTAGGCTCAAGTGATCCTCCCACCTCAGCTTCCGGAGTAGCTGGAAGTACAGGCGTGCACCACCAGACCTGGCTAATTTTTTTTTTTTAATTTTTGTAGAGACAGAGTCTCACTATGTTGCCTAGGCTGGTCTTGAACTCCTGGGCTTATGCAGTCCTCCCACCTCAGCCTTCCACAGTGCTGGGATTATAGGCATGAGCCACTGTACCCCCCTGCCTCTTTTAGTTATATATGAACAGTTAAACTGCGAATATTAAATCTGCTTAGGTCAAAGGCCTATCACACCATCGAGCTGAATATAAGTAAAATTAACTTCACTGTTTTGGGATTTACTTCTTTTAAGACATTATCTTTGGAGCCAGGCATGGTGGCTCACACCTATAATCCCAGCACCCTGGGAGGCCAAGATGGACAGATTGCTTGATCTCAGGAGTTGGAGACCAACTTGGGCAACAAAGTGAAACCATGTCTCTATAAAAAATACAAAAACACCAGGCGTGGTGGCTCACATCTGTAATCCCAGCATTTTGGGAGGCGAGGGGGCGGCAGATCACCTGAGGTCAGGAGTTCAAGAGTAGCCTGGCCAACATGATGAAACCCCATCTTTACTAAAAATACAAAAATTAGCTAGGTGTGGTGGCATTCCCCTGTAATCCCAGCTACTTGGGAGGCTGAGGCAGGAGTATCGCTTGAACCTGGAGGTGAAGGTTGCAATGAGCCAAGATCGCACCACTGCACTCCAGCCTGGGCAACAGAGTGAGATTCCTTCTCAAAAAAAAAAAAAAAATTAGCCAGGTGTGGTGGCATGTGCCTGTAGTCCCAGCTTCTTGGGAGGCTGAGTTGGGAGTATGGCTTGAGCTTGGGAAGCAGAGGTTTCAATGAGCTGAGATCACATCACTGCACTCTAGCCTGGGTGACAGAGCCAGATCCTGTCTCAAAAAAAAAAAAAAAAAAAGACATTATTTTTGCAGATTTGGTTATATGGTAAATAAACAAAACTTGTCAAGGAACAGAATATCTTTTTACATTAGGGCCTATGCTTATATCCAGATAAACATTTGGAAAACAGTATTGCCTTTATATGCCATTATTTTGATTGACACCTTGGTAATAAACTGTTTTAAATAAGGTTGCTCAGACATTAACTGCTTTGATGAGATTCTGAATTCCTGTCTTTTTAATCTCTTGGTACATTCAGATTGGCATCACAGATTTTTTTCTTTGAGAAATCCACATGTCTGTACAAAAATCATCTCTTTTTCAGGAAAACATACTAAGAGAATCACTTGTGGATGTTGGAATGCAGAAAATCTGCTTGCTTTAGGTGGTGAAGATAAAATGATTACAGTTAGTAATCAGGAAGGTGACACGATAAGACAGGTAATATAGTAACATCTCTTTGGTCTTATATAGTCAAGCTTTCCCACCAAATAGTTTGCCTATCAAACTAATCTATACAATTTTTTAAAATTTTTGTGTGAGGTGTATGTGCGTGTATGTAGATATATATATACGTATATGTGTGTATATATATATATAACTTCAAAAATCTTTATATATATATATATATATATATATATATATATGTAACTTCAAAAACCTTTCTATTTATGTGTTAAAACATTTTTCTTTGCTATGAATATGTTATCCAAATATCCTCCTTTGTATGTTTCCCTTTGGTAGTAACATGGATTATTAGCTCTGTGGTTCTGGTTAGACAGTGTATTTGTGAAATAACTGTTATTTTACGTATATATTTATAATGTAAATGTTAATAACAGGTAGATCTCGAATTCAGAGTCAAGTCTGCCTGATTCCAAAGCCCATACCTTTAACTGATGAATTCCTTCTAAACTAATCCTAGTTAAATTTAATCTTAAGATTAAATTTTTCTATTCACATTTCTCAAGATTGATTAGATCTTTCAGAGGCTCCCTCCTTACAGGAATTTGTATCACCAGTAGTTACATAATGTGACCAATGGGAAAATTTGACTTTAAAGTACTGTTTATGATTTAGTATTGCTAGAGCAATATTGACTAACACATTGTTTGAATACCTACCTGCTAGGCACATGGCACTGTATGATATACTATTGAAAGAACATGAAATGTGGTTCCATATTAGCCAATCTGTTGCTGCATAACAAATTAACCTCAAAATGCAGAAGCTTAAAACAATACTTATTATTTTATGGTTTTATGGATGAGGAATTTAGATGCAGCTTATCTGGGTGCCTCTGCCTCAAAGTCTCTACAAGGCTGCAATCATGATGTCAGGCAGGGCTACAGTTTCATGTGAAGGCTCAAATGTGGGGAAAATCTGCCTCCAGGCTTACTCACATGGGTGTTGACAGGGTTCAGTTCCTTATGGTTAGACTCAGGGCTTCAGTTTCTCTCTAGCAATTCACTGGAAGCCTTAACTTCCTTGGCACGTGGATCTCTCCATAGAGTGTCTCACAACACAGCAGCTGGTCAGAGTGAGAGCAGCCATTCAAGACTGAAGCCGAATCTCTTTATAACCTAATCACAGAATCACTTTGCCATATTTTGTTCTTTAGAAGTGAATTACAAGTGATAGCCCACACTCAGCAGGGCAGGGATAGGGATCACACAGGCATAAAACCAGAAAGTGGAGATCACTATGGGCCATCTTAGAGGCTGCTGATCATAGGGCCCCACTCTTAAGAAGACATTACTAATCATTATAAAGTACACATGGTCTTATTGATTAATTGTCACATTTTGTGGTACAGCTTACCTGTCGTACAACATTGGGGAGACAGAGGAGATGAATGAAAATTTGATTGTGAGTCTCTAAGCGATAGAAGGCAATCTGGATCAGTCAGGGTACAGGCTAAACTGTTGGGACAGAGAGACCTAAAATTTCAGGGGTTGTAAGAATATGATAGTATGGGTCGGGTGGATTTTTTCCTGTCTTTCTTTCTCATGTAACAGAGAGACAAGTCACCTACGTACGTCTGCTTCACTAAATTGTACAGAGCCTCCAGTTCCTTCCATCTTATTGCTCTGCCATTTTCTAGAGTATAGTACCCTCATCTGCATGATTGAAGCTAGTGTACCAGGATCACACCTGCATTTCAGCTCTAGGGAAAGGACAAAGAGAAGAAATAGAATGTAAGAAGTTTGTAAAGGACTTGATCTGGAAGATGCATTTATTATTTCCTTCATGTTATATGACTATAACATAGTCATATGTCCAAATCTACCTGCTGCCAGGAAAGCAGCAATTTTAGTCTACCTCCATGACTGTGTACCATGCTAAAACTTGTTTTACTAGATAGTGCAAAACATGTACTCATTCAGTCCAAGCAGAACAGCAAGGAAAAACTTAATACAGCTTGTTCATGGGTTATTCAAGCTTGGACTAACTGAAGATATAGGTTTTGATTGGGAATTTATAGAAAATAGGGCTGAAGATAGCTGATTCCTGTATCTGTTTTTAATAATTCTATTTTCAATACCCTTTAGAAATAGAATGGTAGAATGCTACAACTCACCTCTTTTGTGTTCATATCAGACATCACCAATAGATAGTGGATTTTTTTCTCTTCACTGAATCAAAATATGGTCTTAGAATATTTTTCCACATAGCATTCCAGGAAGTCACTACAATTCAACCATTGTTTACGTAGAAGATAACTGTTCTTCATTTCTAATCCTTAAGAAGTCTGCTTCCAAAATTAGACATACTACTTAAACTGTCATGTAGTAAGCAAAATACACATCATAAGCATTGCTTTGTTTGGTGTTTTGTCTTAATTGCTTTAACTTTGGTGTTCTGCAGATCACTGTGTTGTTATTTGTCTGTATTTATTTTTATTTATCTGCTCAGGATTTGTCTTGCTTCCTGAATCTGAAGATTGCTGGCCCTTGTCAATTCAGGAAAATTCATAGTCATTATCTCTTTGAATATTACTTCTTGCCCTTTCTATTCTGTTTTTTGGGAGTATCTGTTAGATATCTTTTTGACCCTCTCATGTCTCTTAATCTCTCCTTTTCATAGTTTCTATTTTTATCCCTCTGCAACCTTTTAGATAATTTTCTCATATTAGTTCACATATTCTTCAAATTTGTCTAATCATCTGTCTATACCATTGATTTTTTTTGTTTTAATGACTCTTGTTTAGAGAAAGCACTTTGTAGTTCTTTTAAAAATCTGCCTGAAATACATGAATAGACAGTTTACACAAAAGTATTTTTTAAATGGCTCTTGGTTGGGTGCATTGTCTCATGCCTGTAATCCCAGCACTTTGGGAGGCCAACACAGGCAGATTACAAGGTCAGGAGATCGAGACCATCCTGGCTAACATGGTGAAACCCATGTCTACTAAAAATACAAAAACTAGCTGGGTATGGTGGTGCCCCTGTAATCCCAGCTACTCGGGAGGCTGAGGCAGGAGAATCGCTTGAACCAGGGAATCGGAGGTTGCAGTGAGCCAAGATCCGGCCACTGCATTCCAGCCTGGTGACAGAGCGAGACTCCATCTCAAAAAAAAAGAAAAAAGGCTCTCATACATATGAAAAAATATCAAACCCACTTATAATTAAATAACTACAAAGTAAAGCCACACTGAAATACCATTTTTCACCTATCAGGGTGGCAAAATTATGTAAAATATGATAACATACTCTGTTGGTGAAACTATACATAAAGTTAATATGTCCCTTCTGCAGGAAAATTTGAAAATATCTAGTAAAACTACATCTGTACTTACCTTTTGACTTAACAATACCATTTCTAGGACTCTACCCTTCATATACACCTCCTATAATACAAAAGTATATAAGCACTTAAAAAAAAAACTGCCTGAACTTAAAAAAATTCTTTTCTCATATTTGTGAGTCCTTTTACAGCTTTAGTCATTTTAAAAATATTTATTTTATAATTTCTCTCTCTCTCTCTCTGATAATTCTATTTATTTTTAGATCTACTAACTCCTTCTCTTGATGTATTGTTTCTTTTTGAGTTTTGTAATTTTGAAGTATGAGCTCATCTTTAGCAGGGTTTATGTGTGGAAATTTTTTTAAACTCTTGGTAGAGGTTCTGGGTTAGTTTTTTCCAAAACTGCAGGGATAATATGAGCCTGGATCCTTCCATATTTTATGTTAATTTGTCATCTTGGGAGCTCCCAAACCACCCAACATATACATTTGAACCTCAGACTATAATGCAGATAGAAGGAGAGGTCTTTAGTTAAATCCTTTTTTCTTTCTTTATTTTTTTTTTTTTTGGTGAGACAGGGTCTCTGGAGTGCAGTGGCATGATCATAGCTCACTGCAGCCTCAAACTCCTGGGCTCAAGCAATCCTCCCACCTCAGCCTTCCAAAGCACTGGGATTACAGATATGAGCCACCGTGCCCGTTCTTTAATTAAATTATTGACATGAACTTTTTTTGTCTGACTCAACACTCAGGCCAACCAAATGGGTTTCCTTATTGTCTCCCATTACTAGCTGCTCTGGGTAGCTGTAGCATCAGTTTCTGCACAGACTCTGGTTTTAGTTTGATCTTCGCTGATGGTCCCTGTAAATTTCCCTTTTCTTCTTTCAAGCTTATTTGTTTATTTAATAAGATATATTTTCTGTTTCATCGAGAATTTCTAGATATTTGTGGCAGTAGGATTTTCAGGTTCTTAGTCCAACATTAGTCAGGAATGAAAACGAATTACCTGTTCTATTAATATTCAGAATGAATTTAAATATTGGGTTCATTCATAGTGATGATATTTTTACTCCTGTAGACACAAGTAAGATCAGAGCCTAGCAACATGCAGTTTTCCTTGATGAAGACAGATGACCGAACCTCTGCTGCTGAAAGCATGGTAAGAATTCTAATCAAATCCATGCCCAAATCATTTGGGTAATTTTGTGGAATATATAATTTCCTTTTCTTGGATGACTCAAATAGTGATGAATAAATTATGTCCATTGACTGTATTTTAAACCATGATAGAGCTACGTCTTTTAGTCCTAAAAGTTGTTATTGCTATTGACTACCGGGTATTACAGCAAATGAGGACAGCTTTCTGTTACAGTTGGTATTGCTCTTTTCATTCTTGCGGTAGCAAAAACAGTAGGGGTACTTTGCAGAAGTACTGATTTGTATATTATTTTTTATATTTTTACTCAGATTTGGTTAGCAGAGCTCTTGAAGTTGTAGCTTTTGGTTAATAATTAGATGAATTTTTCCTGCCACATCTTAACATTCTGAAATCCAGATGATTTTCACAATCAATATGAATATATTTAATGAAGTAGTAGCTGTTTATTTCCTAAAAACCGATTATTAAATTGATAGTGACTTACAATTGAGAGCATCTTATAGTCAAGGAATTATATCACTAATGAGCCCAAATAAGTAATATACTCTTTTTTCTCCCCAACATAATTACATCCTCCACTGGGAATTATATTTAAGAAGTTAGTTGCATGAGTAGCACAGAGACACTAGTTTAGCTAACACTAACCTGCAGGTGATAGAACCAGTGATGATATAAAAAGCCAAGCTGGGGGTTGGGTGCGGTGGCTCACACCTGTAATCCCTGCACTTTGGGAAGCCAAAGCAGGTGGACCACAAGGTCAGGAGTTCGAGACCAGTCTGGCCAGCATGGTGAAACCCTGTCTGTACTAAAAACAGAAAAAATTGGCTGGGCATGGTGACGCATGCCTGCAGTCCTAGCTACTCAGGAGACTGAGGCAGGAGAATCGCTTGA